CTTTTTATTTTTACTAACATTATTTTGTTGTGTTGAAGTCTCAAGGACTGTCATTTACCAATATTAAGCTTGGCTATTTAAAAAAAAAAAGCTTGGCTATTTTATTTTCACTGTAGTAAAGTAAAACAAAAGATTTTTAGTCGTCCATAGTATTATTTGAACTTATACCTGTATTCATGCACAAAAATATATGGAAATTAACTTATCTAACAAAATGTAGCTTATCCCAAAGGATTGTATGTTAAACATAGAAATGAAAATACAAAAAGATGGGATCTAAAAAGGTCCCCAATCTAAATTCATGAAAATAGTTTTTTAATTGTCATCAATCATTATTTAATGAAATAATTCACATGGTCGCACATCTGCTTCACCACTGTCACTCCAACTAAATGCTTTTTGTCCGAACAAGGGCCCAAAAACAAACCTCAGTATAAGATTTTAGTGGGCTCTCAAGCCCACGTGACTCACGCTCTCTTACACACAAGACGTCGACTTTCACGTGCTTCGGCGTGTGGAAAGGAAAGTGTTTTGGTTTTCTTCTAAACCTTACTCACTTCCGGTCCGGCTAAACCAAACCGAGAAACAGGCACATTTCCGACCGAACACGCTTTCTTCTCGAATTAATTGTCAAAATGCCATAAATTGAAAAGGAGAAATCTGTTGTGCCATAAATAAGTCTATATGCCATAACGTATATGGAATCCTTGATGTTATCCCAAAATTAATGTTTAAATAAATTTATAATTAATATATTAAAATTAAAACGAAAATTAATAAAAAATATGATTTTTTTTCCTTTCTTCCCAATTTTTCTCTTCATCTTCAACCTCAAATCTGCTAAATCCTATTCTTGCCGTCGAATCTTCCCATCCTCCTTCTTTTCATCCTCTTCTTCTGCTGCAATCAATTCATTGTTCATAACTTTTCTCTATCCTGCCATTGTTGAAGCTTTAAAACTGAGTAAATTGTTCTTATTTCAGAATTTAGGGATTTCAAAATTTAGAGATTGAATTTGCAAAATTTGTTTGTTTTGATAACCAGATTCGGTTGGGAACCAAGTTTTATATGAAGATTAGGTATTTGCATTGATAATTTGTCGAGTTTAGTTGTTAAATCATAGTGATTTTAAGGTTGTTTAGAATTGGAACCCGAGTTCATCACCAAATCTGCAGATGAGGACAACTGGTACAAATGGTACAACTAAGAGATAGAAGACAACTAGTACAAATGGTACAACTAAGAGGTAGAGGACAACCGGTACAATGGGTACAACTAAGAGATAGAAGACAACTGATACACTAAGACAACTGGAATAATTGTTAATTGAGTATTTTTTATTCTATGCTGAGGAGATAATGAGCATCAACCACACAAACATTTTAATGGATTTCAAAAATTTTCATCTATGTTATATCATTTACTATTTCATATTTGGAGCAGATAACTTATTTCATCTATCTATGTTATATTGTTAATCATGATATGAAACAATAGAGGCAAATTATATGATTTTACATAATTTGTAATATGAAAACCTCATAAATGAAAATTAATAGTTGAAAATTAATGTAAACGCTAAAATTTCAAAAGAACAACTATTAAGATTTTCAGACAACTGGACAATTAGGTACAACTATGAACAACAATTGATTGTGCACATAGGTGTTTGTGTTACTTTGATAAACATCTCAACACTTAAGAAAATCAATCTAGTCTAGAAGATTTCATTTTGGCTGAAAATGCTTTCTGGATAGAAATAAACAAGGTACAACTAGATATATATATATATATATACAACTATATGCAATTCTTTAGTTAGAAAATAATAATAATAAAATTATAAATATAAAAAGAAAGCATTCACTTAAAAAATGCAAAAAGTAAAAAACTATAAAGAATAAAATTAAAAAGATGGATAATATGAACTTATGAATTATGATTTAAAAAGACTTTTATAATGTTAACAATCTTATGATGAAAAAAGGCAAAATTATGATTTTGCATAAATTGTAGTATGAAAATGTTTTAAATGGACTACAGTAGTCGAAAATCATGTGGACAACTACAAAATAATAATTTATATTAAATGACAACTGAAAAAATGCTAGAATCGCCAAAGGACAACTATGAAGAATTTTGGACAACTGGACAAATATGGACAACTATGTACAAAATTGACGGCACATGTGGTACTTTGACTACACACATATCTATTTTTGTCGGGGCACATGTTCTCTAGTTTCGTGGGATGTGAATTAGCAAGGGACAACTGGACAAGTAAGGACAACTTTATGCAACTCTTTAATTTTAAAAAAATTAATAATTAATTTAATTCAACATATAAAGAAAATAAATACTTAAGAAATGAAAACATGTCTTAAACTATAAGGAACAATACTAATAACATGGATAAAATAAAATTATCATTTTTCTAATACATATTATTGGTTTCACATCAAACATCACTTATGATACAAGGAAGACTTTCATAATGTTAACAATCTTTTGATGGAAAAGATGCAAATATATGATTTTGCATAATTTGTGTTATGAAAACCTTGTAAATGAACTGAAATAGTCGAAAATCATGTGGACAACTACAAAATAATAATTTAGATTAAAGGACAACTGAAAAAATGCTAGAATCGCCAAAGGACAACTATGAAGAATTTTGGACAACTGGACAAGTATGTACAACTATGTACAAAATTGACGGCGCACGTGGTACTTTGACTACACACATATCTATTTTTGTCGGGGCACATGTTCTCTAGTTTCGTGGATGTGAATAAGCAAGGGACAACTGAACAAGTAAGGACAACTTTATGCAACTCCTTAATTTTTAAAAAATTAATAATTAATTTAATTCAACATATAAAGAAAATAAATACTTAAGAAATGCAAACATGTCTTAAACTATAAGGAACAATATTAATAACATGGATAAAATAAAATTATCATTTTTCTAATACATACAATATTATTGGTTTCACATCAAACATCTCTTATAATACAAGGAAGACTTTCATAATGTTAACAATCTTTTGATGGAAAAGATGCAAATATATGATTTTGCATAATTTGTGTTATGAAAACCTTGTAAATGAACTGAAATAGTCGAAAATCATGTGGACAACTACAAAATAATAATTTATATTAAAGGACAACTGAAAAAATGCTAAAATCGCCAAAGGACAACTACAAAATAATAATTTTTTTTTGCTTGTCTTCTTCATCTCTTTCTGAATGTTTTTGTTACAGTGATATGTTATTGTGCTGGTGGTCTGCAGTAATCTTCTTGAGCTTCTGGGCAGAGGTTCATTACAACTCATCTACTTAAACGGAGGTAAATCCTTATCCTACACACCTTAACTCGTTTAACAAATCCTGTTTTGCTATATTTTCCATCATTTTCAAATTATTAAGAGAGCTTCCTGTTATTTATTTGTGTTCATCGGCAACAAAGCTACAAAGGAGAAAAAAATGGTAGCGTTTCGGGAACTAGACAGAGCATGAATCATCATCTGTGAGTTATATTAATATATATTGACTTGAGATAGAAAAAGAGAGAGAAGGAGAGGAGGTTCTTTGAAATAGTCCTTTCGTAGAGAGTGGATGAACAAAGCTCACAGCTTCAAAGTCTTACAATAGTATTATATTCTATGAAAAAGAAGATTTTCTGCCAAAAACAGAATTAACAATCAAATAAAGTAGACAACAGAATCGAGTTGGTACAAACATTCCAAGTTCTAGCAGCTCCAACGATTTAATTTCTTACTTGCAATCTCAAAGATCACTTGAAAAAAAATAAACCAAAGACAAAAGTCTGAGATATATGGGGTGTTGAACAGTCGGATATAGATGGGACATAACATTAGAAGATTTGATTGTGTTAGAATCAGTGACGCTTTTGTCGAAATGTGAAAAACGTGAAGAACCTCAAGGGAAAAGAAGAAAAAAAACATGGGGAAAAAAATGGAAAATGAATATTTGGAAATATTCTTTTTGATGGTTAAACACATGAATACTAGATTTTCTAAGATTCTCTTAACGATTTAGTAGAATACATTTTCCACATTACGTAGAATAAAGAAATATTAGTAGAATAAATATTCTAGTAAAATATAGAATATATTGAAAAGTGTAGAATATATATTCCATAAGCTCTAGAACAATGAAGAATCTGTAGAATATATATTCTATACGTCTAGTAGAATAAAGAAGAACATGTAGAACATCGATTCTAGGTTTCGTAGATTGTAGAAAAATGTGTATAAAACATATTCTATAAAATTGTAGAATGTAGAATATGTTTTCTACATCCTGTGGAAAAAAAATTTAAAAATTTAAAACTTTTCATAACTGATTTTCGATAATTAATTAATTTCCTTATTTGGTATTATCGATTTTTTTTAAAAAAATAAACATTAAATTCGAATTTATTTAATTAATGTAATCTTTAATTAAAGGGTAATTTAGTCTAAAAATAACAAAAATCCAAAAAGTCTTATAGGGACAATTGTTTGTAAAATGTGTCCTACATTTACAATTCTCCCTTTTTTAATTGTGAATTTAAGGTGTAATTTGTGTAATTATTTGGGGATAATCGATTTTGAATTAACAAAAAAAAAGGATAAATTAATAAATGAAAATATCTAAGTGGGTTGGATGGATATCTATGGGTCGTTGGATTTGGGTGGGTTTGATCCTGGTTTTAATGTAAATAAAGAGACAAATAGGGAGAGGGTAGTATTCTCCAGGCTTTTCCTTATTAAAAAAAATCAAAATTAAATTATAAATTTAACACATGGCATTTTGACTTTTTTTTTCGAGATTGTGGCATCTTGGCCTCGCCCTCTTTCTTCTCTCCACTTTTGTGTCAGGTGATTGCGATCAGAAACAGATATTTCGCTAAAAGTAATCCCAAATTAGAATTTTTTTTACTTTTTTTGGGAGAGATGATGAAGTTTTTAAGTTAGCCACGAGTACGAGAGAGATTTAAAAACATGTGGCTGTGTTGTGTAAGAGACCGAGTCACCCGAACATCTCTTCCCTCACGCCATTCTCCTACCACTCGGACCTAACCAACCAAAACCCGCCACGTCATCGTGAATCCGAGTTCCCGTGAGTTAGGGATCTTTACTTGAAGGAACCAGACATGACCGCAGAGTCACACACTCTCCCCAACCTTCAGAGTTTTTGTCGTCCCCTCGTATGGAATCCATTGTGGGACGACACCAACAAAATATCTTCTTTTGCTTCTCCGCTTCTTCTTCTTTCTCTTCTTCTTCTTGATCTTGATCTTCTTCTTTCATAAGATATATTTCTCTCAGGTGGATTTAGCTTCCCATCTAAATAGAAATAAAAAGTAAAAGTTGCAATCTTTTGGATTTGGGATTTGATCTAAAGCATTGTTTGATCTTGCTTGATTTCGTAAGGTAACAATACCCGACTCTTTCAAGAATATCCAAATAATATTTTTTTGAGGTTACATGTAGGGGAAGTAATCTATAGGGTTTTTTTTTGTTTCTGTGCGTAGGGACTGAGGACAAGAAGATGGGAGGAATGAAAGATGAGGCCAAGAGGATAACAATTCCTCCATTGTTCCCAAGGGTTCATGTGAATGATACTGGAAGAGGTGGCTTGTCTCAGCCTTTTGATGGCAAATCAATGTCTCTCTATAAACGTTCCACTCTTGCTTCTCCGACCAACAAAATCTCTGACTCTCCTTCCACTCTCTCTCTGTCTATTCCTCCACCATCCAACAACGCCCGAATCGTGAGTCCTTTGCTCCTTCATCTCACTTTTTAATCTTCAGGTTCTTGATTTTGTGTGTCTGCTTAGAAATATGATGGTTTCATTAATGTGCACTCTTGGTGAGAAGAAGCATTGATCAAAATAAAATCAACAATGAAAACTGTGAACATCACTTTTTGACCCCTTGTCGAATGCTTTATTGATTTTGTTTTTAACAGACTGATCGACCTGAAAAGAATCAGTTTCCACCAATCTGCAATGCTTCTCCAGCATCAAAGTGTGAGGGGAAGATGAATCAAAAAGGCATGAATTATTCTAGTTCTAGAGGATCATCAGTTACTAATACTAAGCCTAGTTCAATAAAACCAAATGAGTACCACCTCAAGAACTTTACCAACTTTGATTCTCTTAAGGTTCCTGTTGTTAGACGCTCAGAAACAGATCCAAAAGCAAACACAGATTTGTCACTCCAGTTTTGTACTAGCACTAGCAGCAAAGCCGGAGGGGAAGCTGCTGGTTCCAAAGCTGCCCTAAACAATCTTCATATTCGAAAACACATTTTGCCAGAATGTTTGGAAGATGAAAGCCAGAATGTGGTGAAAACTCAGCTGTATAGAAGAAGAGCCCTTGATGGATTTAACATTGAAACTCAAAAGAAGCCTAAAACTGTGTCTCCGCGTGAACAAGATGTCTCAGACTGTTCTGTAATAGACTCTTTGTCTGCTATGAGTGCATCTTCTAATGATGTTGCCAAAGTAATAGGTGACAAGAGGTTTTGGAAGATGAGAACATATATGATCAAGTATGTATTTTATTACTTACTATGTATCAGTCTCTTATATTATGAATCCAGGTTCATAATTTTGCCTTTTTTCTTCCTGATATTTTCAGTCAGCAGAAGATCTTCGCAGCGCAAGTCTTTGAGATGCATAGACTGATAATGGTAAATTTTGCTAATAACCTGATTTTTTGAATGGAATCTTGTTTGCTTTCTATGCTTCAGCTTTCATGTGTTATGAACTTGAACTTGAACATGATACAGGTTCAAAAGATGATTGCAAAATCTCCAAACCTGGTTCTTGAAAGTAAACATAATGGCGTAAAACGTGGTACAACAAGGTCATCACATCTTTTGGAAATAGTGACTTCAAAGGTTAAAAAATCAAACACTGAGAATCACAAACAAGTAACCGAAGATTATCCAGAGCATATGAAACCAAAGCTTCCTCTACCTTCCATAAGCAAAGACCTCGTGACCCCGATTTGGCCACAGCAGCTGCTTCCTCCTCCTGGAAACCAATGGTTAGTCCCTGTAATGTCTCCTTCAGAAGGTCTAGTCTATAAACCATACGCAGGACCATGTCCTCCTCCTTCTTCAGCCTTCATGGTTCCAATTTATGGCCAAGATTCGCTTGATACAGCATCCAGGTTCCCTGTTTCTACTCAATTTAGCCACAACTACTTCCCAAACGTGAGGACAACACTTGAACAGACAAACCCGTTTGGTCAGTTTCAAAGATGGTCCAGCTCATCGAGCCATATGACTCAAGCCATTCCGTTTTCATTAAAGAAGTCTCAGGAATCTAATGACAGTGAGGTACATGGAAGTACAGCTTCAAGTCCACCAGAGAAGCATAAATTCGAAGTGCTTCCTCTTTTCCCTACAGAGCCTACTCATCACACTGATGAGTACAAGGAGAAACAGCAACCACTGTTTCGCGCCATTAAAGCCATTCCTCATAATTCAACATCTGCCTCTGAATCTGCTGCAAGAATCTTCCGGTCCATTCAGGAAGAAAGGAGGGACTCAAATCATATGATTAGTTAGTTTTTTTTCCCTGACATTCCACATTCTTTTGCTCTTTAATTTCTTCTTCATCTAGTTTAGATTTTCAGTGTATTCTATTTACTCTTCATATGAAGATGTAAATCAATACAGTCACTATACATAAAACATACACACACACATACACACTTCTTATATTGATATTGTATTGACAAACAGCAAATAAAATATTTATTTTTGTGGTTCTATTAATAACATTCCAGTTTAAAAGGGACTGAAAATATGTCAATCTTCATTAATTAATCATCTGTAAAATTAAATTTTCATTAGCCATTGAAGTATCTTATACAATCAATGTGGAAGAAAGCAATAATGATCAGTTGTGTCCATGCTAAAACGAAGCTACACTCAAACTCCAAGAACATTTCAGAACAAAAACCAAGAATCAAAAAGAGCAAAAAGATTTGTTAGTATCCAAGAACCTTTGGTGCAAGTTTAAGTAATGGCTCCAGTGCGCTCGGCGCAAACTTTCTTGCAAAAAGATAACACACTTGAGATGGCTGATCATTGTAGAAGCAGGAATGAGCATGAGGAAGCTTCTTAAGAAACCTCTCTGTTATATTAGACTTGCCAAAAGTAGAAGGATGAGCACCACCTCTTGACCAATCTGTCCAAGTTAATGTCCTGTTGGCCAGCAAATTAGAATATCGAATTGAGAGCATTGTTGGGAAGTAATGTTCATCCACATAACAAGGAGGTCTACAAAACTCTTTGAATTTGTGATAGTAAACGATGTCTTCAACAATGTCAAGAGCAAGATATCGGTTAATTTCAAACCACTGAGACCCTTTTCTCCACTGGCCTAGTTGGACTTCAGGTCCCATTGCGTAGCTGTATCTGCCTCTCCCGTAAGGCCCGTCTTTGTCAGCAGAACCCATGAAACTATATTTTGATCTGGAAATGTAACTGTAGATGAAGTCGAAACCACGAAGAGGAATGCAAGCTTCAGAGAGCAGAACAAACCATTCATTAGAGAAATCTAGCAAAGCGTTAGCCAAAAGCCTCCTTTCAGCTTCACACATACTCATCTCTCCCCAAGCCACAGGCTACACACAAATAGAGAAACTGCTAAGTGAGAAGCTAAATGAAAACACAAGAAGCAACATTCTGACTTGGGATCAACGAAAGTACCTGACTTGGGATCTGTCTTCTGTAAAACACAGAGGAGCTTGGGAAATCCGGTTTATAATTTGGCAACGTGTGGACGTAGATTGAGTAAAAATCCTCATGCCCTTTGAAAAACATTTCCCAAAGTGGAGCAAAGGGCAAAGGGCCTTTGGTGAGAAACATGAATGCTATTTTAGGAACCCTTTTAAAAGGATATTCATATCTCCGTGGCTCCATTGATGCGCGCCAGAGAAGCTCGCTGTCATTCATGGAGTGCCAAACACTAGGCTTGATAAAACTTTCTAATGTACTTCTTTCATCACATGTAGAGATCAATATGGTTGGAGCCAAAGTTTGAATCTTCAGGTACTTGATCATGTGCAGACTAACGACTGAGATTCCAAGGACCAAAACAAAGAACAACAAGAAAACCTGAAGCACCCGTATCGGTAAAAGAGTCCTACATTGGTTTAAAGGTCTCAGATTGGAAGCTGATACAGCATTTTCCTTAAGTCCTTCTTCCATCCCCATCAGCTTCAGTTTGTTGATCAACAGAATCACTTTCCAGGAACTGATTTAGAGATGCAACACTTTGTTGTTAAAAACTCTTTGCTGCTTACACAAGAAGAGAAACAAGTTTTTCTTAAGGTGATCAAACACAGTTATCTTTTCTTCTATATAACTTTCTCAAATCTCAATAGTATTTTAGTCAATGAAACCAAAATCAGACAAGATTAAGGTTTTTACCAAATGAGATCTATCCAGAAACGCAGGTAAGATAGTATAAAGAAGTTTTTTAAATTCCAATCTAGTTTCTAATTTAGTTAAAAGGATTATGGTAATATAAGTAAACAAATTAATCTAAAATCTAAAAACAAAGATTTGGGAGAGATTATGATGAATTCACGTGTTATTGATTGAGGAAAAAAAAAAAAAACCTTTGAAAGTGAAACGCACCAGAAAATAGGAAATAAGGATTTGGATCTTCTCAGTCACGCATTTCGTTCAGTGTGTTGGATTCGTCCATAAGCAAAGAAGACGTGTTAATGGGAGCTTAAAATTCTTGACTGATGATCGCAGTCGAGAAATGTCTCTGAAAATTTTATCTAATTTTTGGAAACAGAGAGCTTAAGATGTAAGAAACTTGGAGAAAGGAACATACATATAAGGAATAAAGCATTAAAACCTAAGTACATTTGGTATCTCTTGGTCTTTTCTCTGTAACTGATGGTCTCTCAGTTAGAGACGTTTATTTTCAATCAAAAACGTATTAATGGTTTGATTACTACGTATTAAACATTTCGGAAACATACTCTTTACTTCAGTTAATATCTTCTCAACTTATGTTATATTTGTCAAAATAAACTATTAAAATTTTGAAGAGCTTAATGTGGTTATTGAGTTTGATTTGGTTCCTTCTTTCAATTTTTTTTTTTTTTTTAGTTCTCCAATTTGGTACAGTATTTACTTAGATAATCGAAGGTAAAAATTAAATATTTAGGGTTTATGGTTCGTGGGTTTAAGAAATAAAAGCCTTTTTAAACTAAAGACGAAGAAGATAGGCCTTGAACATGATGAAATGACCTATTTAACCTTTATCACAAGTTCTGAAATTAGCTCCCTTTGAAACTCTCTCGAATCGCTTTCTTCCTCCTCGAGCTCACTGCTAAAAGAACCACATTTTCAAATGTTAGCCACCACGCCTGCTCATGCTCTCAGGTTCAGGTACGTGTTGCCCACGCGATCGTGGCTCCACAGGTTTCGATGCTCCTCGTCATCTCTCGCTCCTCTCTCTTCTTCTGAATTCTCCGCCGGTAACTCTCAGGAGAAGAGCAGCGACGCCCCCGAGAAGAAAACGGCGCCGTATTACCCGAAACGAGGGCAGACGGTGGAGCTCGTGTGCGAGAGTTTGGGTTTCAAAGGAAAAGGAATCTGTAAAGTTGAAGACACTGGCTTCGTCGTCATGTGCGACCGAGCTCTTCCCGGCGAGCGTTTCCTCGGCCGCGTCACTCGCCGCAAAGGCAGCTATGCCGAGGTTTCGTTAAAAACCTCTCCTTTTTGCTTCAGCTCATCGATGTGATTATAATCTTCTGGGTTTTACCGGATTGTTCAGAAGTATGAATCAAATCGACGGATTTATTATAAATTGATTGTAAAGTTGCAATTTTTCGTGTTTTTTTTTTCTTTTTCATATTTGCTTGTCTGTTGTGTAGGTGACAAAAATCAAGACGATATCTCCACACCGGGACTTAGTAGAAGCTCCATGTGAGTATGCATCCTATTGTGGAGGTTGCAAAACTCAGAATCTCTCTTATGAAGCTCAGCTTAGAGCTAAAGAAGAGCAGGTTCATGAGCTTATGACACATGTTGGAAGGTTTTCTGGTAACGATCCAGGCCTTGACACTATCTTGAAGCCTATTGTTCCCTGCGATATCCAGTTCCATTATCGGAACAAGGTCTTGATTGTTTTTTTTTTGTCGAAACACGTTTCTTATGTGTTGCTTATGGTTTGAGATTGGCTGCTTATGTTACTTTTAATTTGAATGTAGATGGAATTTTCATTTGGTCCACAAAGATGGCTTCCGATTGAAATGTTGCACGAGAAAGAAAACGGTCCTAAGAGCTTTGCATTGGGTCTCCACGCACCTGGTTTTTTCGACAAGGTCTTGAATGTCGATAAGTGCTTGTTACAAAGCGAGCCAGCAAACATGGTACGGTGAAAGCAGTTATACAAAATTAGTATCTACGTAGAGCTCTTCTTCCAGAATCATTAGTAACTGATTTTCTTTTAATAATCCAAATAGGTTCTTGCCGCTGTTCAAGATTGCTGGAGAGATCCCCAATTAAGTCTTTCACCGTATAATGCTCGTTCGCATGCCGGGTTTCTTAAACATTTGATGCTGAGAACTGGAAGGTATTAAAGGTACTTAAAATCAAATTGTTGATAGCATAAGCAACTTGTTCTTGTAATATAAAACTAGTAACAGGGGATGGTGTGTTTGTCATACTGAAATAGAGCTGATGGAAATGAAAATCATAGTTGTATCTGCGCATGATTTTTGGCGATAGTTCTTTCATTTCCTTAGTTTGGCTAATTCTTTCCTGTTATCAAACTTGACCATAGGAACGTGGAGACTGGTTCACAAGAACTCATGGTCAATTTTGTGACATCGTCTTATAAGCCTGAGCTGTTGATGCCCCTTGTTGATAGAATTTCGTCAATTCCACAAGTGGTTCGTAATGAAAATCTTATTTGCGTCATTCCTACAACCCTTAACCGGTTAATCGATTGACCACATTTTGTCTTGCTTTGTTTATCAAGACTTTCATACTTCTTTTTTTGGCTCATGAAATTGCAGGTAAGCATCATGAACAATGTAAATTCCTCCGTTGGAAATACATCGGTTGGGGAAAAGGAATATACTCTTTACGGAAAAGATGTAATCGCAGAGATCTTAAGAGGCCTTACATTTCAAATTTCAGCCAACTCTTTCTTTCAGACTAACACTCATCAGGTATATGAACAATTATACCAACTTGAATCCTCTTACACTTGAAACACTAGACACAAAACTCGTTGAAAATAAAATGGTGTTCACTATGTAGGCTGAAGTTCTATATAAGCTAATTGAGGAATGTGCTGGACTTAGAGGAGATGGCTCAGAAGTCGTGCTCGATCTTTTCTGTGGAACTGGTACCATAGGTCTTACACTGGCGAAAAGGTACAAAACATGAGTTTAAACTATTGTCGAAGATCAATAGATATAGCACTTTTGATTGTTGCTGAATTGTTCAGTCTCCTTCTAGGGCCAAGCACGTGTATGGTTACGAAGTAGTCCCACAAGCAATAACTGATGCACACAAGAATGCTCAGATAAACGGCATAGAGAATGCAACATTCATCCAAGGGGATCTGAATAAGATAGGAGAGGACTTTGGGAGCAATTTCCCTAAGCCTGATATCGTTATATCTGGTTATAATCTTCTTCACATTCTTCCTTCTAATACTTGCAAGCCTACCAATTTTTCTCCTCTCTCACTAGAGTAAATGTTTTTACAGATCCCAATCGACCTGGTATGCACATGAAGTTGATCAAGTTTCTGCTGCAGCTTAAATCTCCACGGATCATTTATGTTTCATGTAATCCTGCAACCTGTGCTAGGGATCTCGATTACCTTTGTCATGGCGTGGTTAGTATCTAATCCTCCATTTGAATCTATGCTCTATATATGTATATCTATTTGTGAAAGTAATAAACAAAACTTGGTGGTTTAAAAACGTAGGAGGAGAAGAATATAAAGGGTTGCTACAAACTGATGAGTGTTCAGCCAGTGGATATGTTCCCTCACACTCCTCACATCGAATGTGTCTGCTTACTTGAGCTTTGTTGAGCTTTCTTGTGACCATGGATGCTTCATTTGGTCTCTATCCTCTAAGCAGATGAGAAACTAATGAAAGAAGACAATTTTTTTAGATTAAGGGAGTTTTGATTTGACATTAGAGTTAATTCTCTTTAATCTTTTTTCATCAAGGTCTATAATAGCATTCATAGACAAGCATGTAGACTTTGACCAAAAAAAAAAGACAAGCATGTAGACCTTTTCTAAAGAAGTTAAAAATTCCACTAAGCCAAGTGGTCCTAAGATACTTGAAAATGAAAAGATTCTAGAAAGAGAATATAGATATTTTTTTGTGTTTGCACAATAAATAAAAAAATTGTAATAGACAATACTTATGTCCCAAATGACTTCAACAATAATGATTAATGTTCTTAAAAAACAAACAGACTTATAAATGAAAAACATTTAAATCTTCATGAAGCTCTCTTCTTCAATGTCTTATTCTTGTTTTCTTGAGCTAAGTTGACGAGCATAAGCCGCAACACGCTTTGCCCACTTCACAATATCTGTCTTGAGCTTTTTGGAATCCATACGATTCAACGACAACGGCTTCTTCCTCCCATCCGTTGATGACTCCATGAACGAGAATGACAAGCATCGATAGCTTCTTGACTTCTGACTTCCATTGTTCTTGCTCTCTGAAGCCTGTTTCTTCACAGACATGTCAGAGACCTCTCCAAGTGAGGATTAATTATTGTTGTGAAATTTGAGTTATGGAGAGACTTTTAATAGAGAGAAAGGCGCAGACAAAAGAAAGAGTCTTACAAGTTATTTGACTATGATGGGTTAAGGTAAAGACGTGTAAGCGTAGAAGCATGTTGGTTTCGTTGACGTTTGACTTTGTCAATGCATAGTTTTCTCTTCTCGTTGTTTCGCAAAATGGAATCTATGCTTTGATTCTATGTTCCAATTAAAACTTGTAATATTACTTTTCTATCATCTTTAAGTCGTTGACTAAACACAATTAAGGACAAGATTTGGTTTGCACTGTTTCTTAATCTTAACTGTAGCAAGCAAACATAATTCGATATTTGTGCCTTTGTGAAGGTTTCAACTTGCAAAAATCAGCCATAAGAAACTTGAACTGGATTACAAAGCAAATAACTGTATCAAATGGGGATGCTGTGAAACGACAGCAAATAACTATGAAGAGTTTCTTCTCCATCAGAGTTTGACAAGAACTGTAAGAGTTTACAACAAACAATTTTAGTTTATCTGAAATAAGATTAAAGCTATTCTCGAAATGAGCAACAATGTCTTCTTCAACCTAATCTGTTTTGTTTTGTCTCCTTCTAATTGTACACCTCCCACCACTAATTGCTAATGCTAAGCTTTACATATACAACTTCACTTCCATGTCTTTCTCTCTCAATTCTCAGCATGTATTGCCTGCAGATGGTAATGCTCTGTGCACTTGTCTTGCTGATCCCTTCACTGCTTCATTTATCCTACTGAAGACGACTTTCAGAGGGATGCAAGCTACAATCCGCTCTTTCGTCTTCTCTATCATCACTTTCTTATTGCTACTTACGGTCAGCTTCTGGCCACTTAGAGCAGAGAGGCACCTTGTCTTTTTGGATAGAGCTGAAGGTTTCTTTGACTTTGATGATTTATGTGGAGGAATGTTTGGTTTCTTTTTCTTGGATTTCTTTTTCCACGTTGGTTTTGGCTTCACAACACCATCAACCATTGGAACAGCAAGTGACTTGATATGACTACAAAGAATGCGATCACATGATCCATCTTGAAGCACTTCAACCGTTAAAGGATGCCCGACAATAGCTTCCCCATTCAGTTTACTCCTCAGAGAAATCAACGGGACACTTCGGGGTTTATAGTTGGCTTTTACCTCGATCTTCACGTCATAGAGCTGAGAATTTCTTCCCATAGCCTGAGTGCCCACGCTGAAATGAACGTGTGGCTTTTGGTCATAGACAGAACAATGAGGCCGAGAATTGTTGTTGGCTTCTTCGGCGAAAGCATTTCTTCTTTCTTCTTGTTTTTTACTCATCTGCCTTGAATTCCTTTTCCCTTTTAGCTGCCACTTTGAAGTGCTATTCTCAATCCCATTAATAAGTGCAGCTGCTGGACTTGTACAAGCAGATCCATTACACCCTTCGATTTTCACCACATCATCATGGCTATTCTGATCACATTGCTTCGTTGGTCCCAAAACAAGATCCTTCTTGGGTGAAGATGTGAAACCCGCCGTTGAAGTACCTGGAACAACAATAGACGTCAGTTTAAGTCATGCTATGCAAAAAAATTAAGCAAAAACACGCAGGAACAATTAGCCATATACAAAAAGAAATTAGGAAGGATCTCTAATAGTTAGTCAATGAGTTAAATACAGGACTAAAAAAAGCATCCATTGCCCAAACAAAGAGTCACTAGTATTCTGTCCCAGACGATTTGTCCAGAAAATTAGTCATATAAGCCCTTTAATCCATCATGTGACAAATCCAACTGATGATTTTTTCCATGCTATTCTGTTTCCTCTCTTCCTAAAAGTGGAGACATTCAGACTTTTCCAACTAAGAGTAACAGAAGTGTGTAAAAAACATAGACGCACACTGCAAATGTTACTCAGATCAAAAGGGACCATTCAGTCACCAGAACTGAATAAAAAGGGTTTAGCCATTTATACCTGCAGAGTCCTTTTCTTCTCCAATTAGTGGAACATCAACCAATCCATTGGCCGAGTCATCCTTTGCTAAAACTGATATGCTGGAGATTCCATTCTCTTTTGCCTTGTTATCGACCACTTCAACAGCATTTTCAGAATCATTTAATGAAACAGCTACATCCTCACATGAAACCTCATTGCTGTCCAAGTTATTATGGTTGATTACAGAAGAAACTTTGCTTTCAGAGAACCCTGGAGGAGGCGAATAATCAGAATTGACAACTTCGTCAGAGGTAACAGGAACAGACACCATAGCTGTACTCTCTAACACTTTTGTCAGTGGCCGTCGTCGGTTTTTCCTTTTAGAGTACTCATTATCATTCACAACTGGCGACCTTGTTCTTCTCTTTGACGGAGAAGTATCCCTGCTACTACCATTGGCAATGGTTCCATTCGGCATAGAACCATTGATGTTTACATCACTTTTAAATCCATTTTCCTGCTTAGCCTTGAGCAATGCACCGACCTGTACTTTTCCTTTCGATCCTACACTCATTCCAATATCTTCAAGCCCTCTCATTCGTTTGTTTCCTTCAGTCCCATCATCTTCCGAGTCATTTGGTGTTCTTCTTCTCTTTTCTAACAAAGGCTGCACCTTTGAAGCTTTACCATTATTGTTTTTTCTTAAAGATATACTAGATTGCAATGCATCTTCAGTCGAATCCTTGGTGCCCTTGCCAGATGTACTAGCCTTCTCGATACACAATTCGCCTTTAGCAAGGTGTGCATTCTCAATTTCTAGAGCATGAACAATGGCATCTTCACGGCGAGCATATTTGACAGCTTTCTTACTACCCCCCGATGCAGTAGCTTTTGCCGTCTCAATACAAGCATCATACTCCCCACAACGAAACGCCTTCACCCTCTTTGACTTTTCAAGGTTATACCAATCCCTGTAAGAGATAAAACAAAATCAAATTCGCTATGCTTCAAGTTAACAATGAAAACAAGTAAGGTCAAGACTCAATCAATCAATCACTCAGCGAAATCCAACGAACAACTGATGAAAACTTAGTGGAAAAGAGTTAAAAAAGAGTACTCACACGCTAGCATCGTCACGACCTAGAAGCTTAATTGGTGTGCCAGATTTAGGAGAAACTACAGAATTATCAGGAACCTCGTGATGAGCCATAATCCGACCCGGCCACCATGACCCGTTACGCCGTCGGACCCAAACCAACCCTCCTACCGACGCATCAATCGCCGTACTGTTTCGCTCATCACTACTCCCCATCACACGAACCAACCCGGAAAAAAATCCTCCCAGATCCCCGTCGAATCACAAAACCTGATCTTACGAATTCGAGCAGAGATTCATCTCCAGGCCTCTCGCTGAAAACTGTAATCGACGGAATCAGAGGAAAACCTTGAAACCCAACATGCAAAATCGAAGCCCAGGAGTTGTGAGCGCTTGTAGGAAGATGTGAGAGTGGTTGAAAAGGGTTTTATCTACCGAGAGGAAGATCTGCCACGGAAAAAAAAGGAGAACCGGAAAACAGGAGATCCAGACTGTTGCGAGATTACTCTGCGACGTTTCTTCTCAAAGATTGAAGCTTTTTTCAATTTCTCAATCGGTAGCAGCGAAAACCGCTGATTTTGACTCAAGGGTTTTTGGCTTCCTCCGGCTCGGAGAAGAAACGCAGAGAGAGAAGAGAGAGCGCAGGGGAAGAGAAAAAAAGAGAGTTTTTTTTTGGGTTTCAGAGTTTTTTTTTTTTGATACAGAAAAATAAACGAAGGCCAAATAACTACGGAACAACGGCTGCGTTTTGGATTTTCAGATATTAGACAAACAAATTCCCAAAATGTCTCAATGGAAAGCAAGATCATTCCTTCTTTTATATTCGAGACTCGGTTATCATATTTCATTCAAAATCTTGGGAAAAACATTTTTGATAAACAAAACATCACTGTTGTTAAAAAGCTTTCTCGTGCATTTTCCAGAGATAAATTGTCTTAAATATTTATATTAATTCATTACCGATTAATACGTTATCTTTCTTCTGAACCAATGTCTATGGAATGCTTGTATTCCGATTCTTCATAATGTTAATGCAAACTGCTTGGTTTTCAGATGACTAACCAACTTTCAAATCAGTAAATATGATCTCAAGATTTAGTTGGTAACTATAAAGATTCAGTAGCACAAAAGCATAGTAAATATGTTGGCAATTAGTTTCACGTGAAATAATTTTGCTAAAGGCTTTACGTGAATTAATTAATGTCTTAATGTTTTTTTAACAAGGTAATATAGTTTTTGGCATGCTTTTTGTGGAACATGAAAAAGGTCTTGGACACTTGAGAAACAAATTCCATGACATATGCAAATGATATATTCGAATTATATGTTTGTTGAAGTACAAGAATAAATTCTATGACAAATGCAAATGCATAAGATATATTATTCTAACTATATTTCCAACTATCTGTAAGGGCCAATCTTCGAAGCCAATATTTGCACGACAAGACAGAAACGCGTGAAGACGCGTAAAGATATGAAGAAAACAGAGGGAAAAAAAAAACAGAGGACACTCGTGAGTGCACGAAAAAAGGTGCGGTGGAGAAAAGAAGAAGAAATAATGGTGTCAAAGTGTGAGAGGAGGATCTAGGTCTTAGCGTAAAGAGACCAACCAAATTCTGAGTCTACACGAGAGGTCTAGTAATTTGAAAGACCGGATCCGTAGGTTCAGCCGCTCATCTGTCCGGTCCACATGACAAAAGAAGTCGTTAAAACTCAGAAGAATTTAGAAACATAGGGTTATAAGCATTTGAGTAACAAAATAAGGAAAATACTGAAAAACAATCCGTTTTGTGACTTTCATAAGATCGAGGAAATAAGATGATATTGAAACAAAGCTAGATGAAGGAGAGCCAGAAGAATCTACATTGATGATTGATATTGAGACCATGTACATACATTAGTTATCGACAGGGTCCATCCAAAGGTCGCCAACTGAAACAAATTTAAAAAGCCATAAAATCTACGAAAGTAGTTTCCCTAGGTATAAGAACTCACACAAAATTGGGCCTAATGAATAAATATCTAATTTCTTAAGAAGAAACGAGAAAAACAAAAACAAGATTAACAGCTATTCATTAAACAAGAAGATGACTACCAAAAGGAGAATATCAAAACCCGTCTCTTCTTTTCACCTCTGAGCATGAGGTCCAAGTTTTTTTGTTTTGGTTCCAATGTCATCAATCTTTTCCATGAGATGATGCATAGTCTTTCATTCTTTCTTTCACTTGCTGCAAGAGGTAGGTAATCAACATTTTATTGTTATAACAGAACAGCTTAACTACAAATGCAGAGAAATATGAAAACCAAAACTGTTGTTTGAATGGGGACCTTTGTAACTCACCTTCAATTCTTCATGGAGAACAACAAATACTTTCTTCAAACGTTTGTGCCTCTGCAGATTAACATATACAAGAAAGTCATCATCAAGTATAGTGTGCAATTAAAATGCAAAAAAATGTTTAGTATGCCTCGAAAACTTCAGTAAACAAGTTGAGTTCAATCTTCAAGGTTATATCAAAAAAGTTTTTCATAAGAGATTAAATTTATATGTTCAAATGGTTAGAGGTAGAAGACTAACCTCCCCATATTTGCAATAAGACTCCTTCAAGTGCTCCACAATTTTGTTATATCTCTCCGTGTCCCTTCCTTTTGCAAACTTGAGGTCTTCCCCCAACTTTTGAAAGTCCTTTCTGCGAATAATGGAAATATACATTTCAAGAAGCTGATAGACTTGGACAACACAAATGATCTGAGATTTATGAAAAAAGAGTTCATCTAGCTACCTGTAGCTCTCTAATATCTTGTTAATGGAGCAGTAGCTATCATATTTATCCAAATATTCCTGCATATAGGCTTTATACCTGAAACAGAATAACATTGTCAGTCTAATCGAAACATAAATACCAAGCAATTAGATTTCCAAACATTATAGTTTCAGTTTACTCACTGTAAATGGTCACTAATAGGTCCCTTAAGCTCAGCAGAAGCTTTCTCGTATTTCAAATAAGAAGAGTATTCTTTATCGAAAGATGTCATTTGTTTCTCCTGGACAACACTGTCACCAGGTATTGAAGTTGCATCTATGTGTCCATTGATAGAGTTTTCAATTTTCCCAGACGCATGTCTTTTACTCTCCCTTGATGAGCGGGATGTGGATGCTCGTTTGCCATGCTTTACAACGGGCGTTTTTTTGTTCGTCTCTCCATAACCTTCTACACTGCTTCCTACTCTTGCTCTACTATTTTTTTGTCTTGATTTATAAGCTGCATTACTCTGTGAGCCAATTTCAGTATCTGCACCTGTAAGGTTCTGCTCATGCGACTGCAAAGGCCACTTCTGAAGTCTTTCTGAATCTTCAACCACGTGTTCGGGCAATACTTTGATACCGTTGCTGGCATGTGAGGGAGCTGGCTTTTTTGGGTCGGATTTTTTAGACCTTCGTTTCTCCGAGTCAATAGCCAAGTTTTCTGAGGTGCTTGGTTTTATATTTGACTGCCTAAAAGAACTTTTCTCTTCGAGTTGCTTCAATGCTATATCTTCGACCAATTGTTCACGGAGTTCACCCAACTCCAATTCCGAAACTTGTTTTTGGAGCACAGATCCATTTTCCTTAGGTAATTTCGCCGAATATGTTCTCTGACTATCCAAGGGAGAAGAACCTATGCCGAAGCCTAAAACATTCTTAGGATCCTTGTCACTTCCATCCAGTTCACCATGTTTCCTATTGGATGTGTCAGAAGGTAATGAAGGTCGAATGGCTGGCTCACCATCTTTTCTATTCCTTGGAAACTTATTTTTCAAATGAACATCATCTCTTTGATTGCCCCTGATAGCCTTTCCTGACCGAGTCATTTCATGCGGAAAATGGTCCCTTTCTTCAGATTTACGAACATTGCCTAAGGAATCAGAATGTTTGTTTGATTTACCTGAACTATCAACAGGCTTCATTTGACCATGTCTATTCGACTTTTCAATAAATGGCTTCTGAAGTCCTCTAAGTGGATCTATTGTTTGACTGGCAGAGGAGTTGAGAAGTTCTACATCAGACTTGCGCTCTGAACGCTGTGAATCTTTACCAACGGAAGGTATTGGATTGAAGCTCTGGGATTTCATATTTTTCATCCGTGTTGATTTCTGACTCTGGTGCTCCAAATAAGGGGCTATTTGATTCTGGTCTTTGGCCAGCCTCTCGGAGGTGTCAGGTTGGTCATTTTTAAAGTTATCTTTCGTTGTGTTCTCTGTGTCATCAAACAACTGTCCAATAAAATTTTGGCGCTCTCGTAGCTTGTCGTGACCTGAAGCAAAATTGTCCTGCCCTGAAATGCCAACTTCGTCATTCGCAGTGGGACTGGTACCAGTTGTTGCTTCCATTTTCCAGTTATTATCAGAGAAGTTTTTCCTGTCAGCTTCAAAACCATGACCCCCATCTGAACTGTTCCCCTCAACATCAACTGCATCAGACCCAAGACCATCGATGTCAACCGCGTCAGAATCATGACCGTCAATGTCGACAGGATCAGAATCATGACCCTCGATGTCAACAGCATTAGAACCATGACCTGGGAGAGTAATAGCATCCTGTTCAGCCGACTGTATTATCTGTTGAGGCTCCCTGTCACCATCGCTCATGATATCCACTTCCTCATCAGAACCATCCCTACTGTTAGAAGAAGCCTCGCTATCACTGCTGCTCCCGCTGTCACTTCCTTTACTGTGGCTCCCACTGTCACTTCCACTGTCACTGTTATCACTATCACTGTCACTATCACTAGAGCTACGAGCCTGACCTTCTCTATTCTCAGATCGCTTTTCCTCATGAAGAATACCAGGTGAATGATGCTCAATGTCAACATTTTCTTGCGCACTCAATTGCTCTGCTAGATGCACAGGTAAACAGTCTTGTGAACCTTCTCCGTTCCGCTCACACACAGAAAATTTCTCCATGTTGCTGCCCCCTGGAGCAGGTAACTGATCGCGACTGCACTCAGTGATTGGTAGCAATTGCTGGTGTTCAGGTGAGCTGAAAAATAAAATTTGTACCAAGACCAGATACGACAATACAGGGGAGAGGACATAAGTAAAAGTATAAAAGATGCATATGTTGTAGTTTATAGCTTCTCGAGATCATTCTACCCAAAAATAACAATTATTCAATTAAAGTTCATTCTGCAGTAAACAAGCAACATTTCATGATATTCTTCTCTTATAATAGATTCTACTCTCATGCGCCAACCTGATTTTACAAATCACATGCATTATTTATGTGGATACGCCTGTCCTAATTTCTAGAGTGTCATATTCTACAAGGACAATGCAACACTATCGTTTAGGGTACACATACCTTCCGCTATCAGGTGAATGTTTTTTGTAGCTTTCCAACTCTGCTCCTGATTTTAAGAAATACCTTGGAGCTTGGAAATTTGCAATCTGGTTATCAACTACAATTAGGGACACAATAATAGATGCTGCACTTCATAAAACCACACCAAAGTTTTCAGGACTTACTTTTTTCAAAATTGGTTCAATCTTCTTTGCCGCATTAGGGATTCTATTTCCAACAGCTTTCTCTAATGCCTACAAAAAAATGGAGAGAGTGAGGTCAATTGTGTTGGAAGCAGACATTGGATATGAAAATAGCATATATCTGGCATTTGATCCATGTTATTACCTTTAAGGTCATTGGAGCCTCTTCTAGAAGATCAACCAGCATTGTCTGCAAATCTATTTCTTTATTAATATTGGCTGCTTGGCGCGCAGACGTGTCCCTTAACGCATTATTTGTCCAAGTTGATGGATCTTTTTCGCTAGCAACCATGTTCTCTCTGCCCTTTGTCTGGACTGGTGTGACATTCTCGTTAGCTGCATGAGTTTTAGCAATATTCCCAATCCCATATGATGGAGGGGTATTGTATTGATTAGAAGGAGATGGTCTTGGGGAAGCTGATAGCCTATTTTTCACAGCAGGGGGTGAAGCCCCTGGTCTGAAAGAAGGCTTTGGACCTCCAGTTGAAACTACAGTAAACCACAAGTGAAAATTTTAGAATTGACAAAACAGCAAGGGAATATAATAGCACCCACGCCTAATGTGTTACGACAGGCGCATTGCAATATATACCTGAAGGTGGATCAACTTTCCGCTTCTTAGGCGGAGGTTCCTTCTTCTGTTTATTTGACATTCTCCATGGACTTGCTGAAAGCACAGGGAAGACGATACAATATTTTTGATTATACTTAACAATTAACCCATACTAGATATTTAGAGGTTGGGAACCCAAGAGAGATGAAAACCTGACCACGCAGTAAAATTAACAGCAAGGGTTTCAGATTCAACCAAGAATTTCTTAAACCACTGAGTTTCAAAGGAAAAGAGAAAATGTGGGAGGTACAAACAACGCTTAACAACAATCTCATGTTAGCTGCCCAAAATTTCAAAGAGATAGATGGAAGCTGTTCGTATGGATAACAGATAATAGAACGAAAAAGTTACCTTCAGCAAGAGCTAACTGCTTCGTTACTGTTGGATTCCCAGGATCTAAAACAATTGCCCTGACATAATCAAAAATGTAAGGATATTTCAGGCATAACCACTTTGATGAGACTAAGTTAAAGGACACAAAAGTATGCAATCTGTTATGCACGGTAAGAAACATTCTCGGACTAGTGTCACAAAAAAACAGCTCAAAGTACCCAAGATGAAAATTACATGAGTAAACTAAAATCAGAATCCATGAAAGTAGAGGCTGACATCCACAGCAGCCTAAACGCAATAAGGTGAACAATGGGTATACCGATACTTTGTTTATAGCTCCACCAAGGTTATATGTTATCGTGCCAAGACTCATGAGAAGACTACCCTACCCATAGAAGACTGCAAAACCAGAAATTACTAAGAGAGCAGACACCTTTGGAGCTAAAGGACAGACTATGATGAAAACAGATTATAGATATTGAGATGCAACAAAAAAAATGTTTGGTCAGAAACTGTACTTGCGTGATTTGGTTCTCTGCTCAGCTTCAACTGAGCGCATCTTCATATGGCTTGTGGTTGACTCATCTAGAGTTCGCTGGACGTTCAATTTTCGCCAAGCACATCCAGCCTCAACTAGCACACCATTTCCATCTTCACCACTTTGGTGCTCTTCATATATATCACATAAATCACCAGGCTCCCTAGACCAGGTAAATTTGAACTCCTTCCCACCAACATTAATAATCTGCTTAGATCAAGAACCAAAAACAGCTGGAAAGTGTCATGATTCAAAACGGAAAACCTAAAATGAAAATATGTTGCCAGTAGAATAAAGAGACCATACGCAGCAATTCAATGATTAAGCCAATATACAATACAGTACATGCTCAACCAATAAGCAAGTCAATGTCTACCCAGAATCTACCAAGTAGCAATCTATACAACAGAAATTCAAATCCAGTATTACATTACAATCTACTCTCTATAGAAGCTATTTCTCCCCAATTTCACTAATTTAGGGTACCTTGATTGAAATGAATAATCAAAATGATCGATAAAGAGAAGCATAAACTACTAAAGCAAACGCATTCAAGATTCACCCAAATGAAAGAACGCAACTAGCTTGAAGCAATTCAGCTCGAATCACAGAAACTATCTCTCTCCGAATTTGAGAATTAAGTAGAAACTCACATTCCCAGTGCTATTGTTAGGAAACGCATCGAACTTGATCTTGGCGGCTCCACCCTGTGCTTCCGCCCGCTTGATCTCCTCCACCAAATCAGGAGCCAACCTTATGATCATTCCAAAAGCCGAAGGACTCTCCCTCGGAACAAGGCTAAAGCTCTCCTCAACCGTACGAGCCGCCGTCGACGCCGTGGCGGCCGCCGCCGCCTTGACGCTGGTGATATTCCGCTGCCGTGGGGCGGCTGCGGAGCCACCACCTCCCGAGGACATCCTCCCGACGGGAGAAGGATGCCGGTTCGTAGGAGGAGGGTAAGAATTGCGGTTACGGCCCGGTCCGCCACCACCGCCTCCTCCTCCACCACCACCTCTACCGCCACCGCGACTAAGTTTCGACGATCCTCCGTACATCCTCCGGTCAAATTGCGCCGTCGTCACTGCAATATCCTGAAAACCATGTATTCGCGTATACGTGTGTGTATAGATTTAACTGATTGAGACGCGCGAGCAAAGAGAGAAGAAAGAGAGAGAGACGATGATTAGAAGAAGAGAGAGAGAGGGACCCAAGAGAGGGCTTCTGTTCTTCTCTTCTCTTCTTCTTCTTCCTCTTTTTTTTTTTTAATTTTTCCTTTTTTTTTTAATTTTACTGAATGTAAAACGGCTTCGTTTTGAGGTTTAGGTCTGCTTGAAGTCTGAAGCTAGCGGTGAATAAATCGACCCGACCCGATTAGACCAGAGCCCACCCGGCTATACACGTCCGGACCCGACCGTAAAGGGCGAGAAGGCTGAAATATATAGAGACGATCCAAGTAGAGAAACAAAAAAAGGATTTTTCAGTTTGCCTTCTCTTCAAGAAAGAAATCAACTTCGCTCTCTCTCGGCATCAAACATGTTAACAGGTAAAACTTCTTCGAGTTTTCTTCCTTCTCTAAGCTTAATCGATGTTTATGCTCCTCCCTTTTTACACTTTATTTTGTATCCAATGCTAATGTAAGAATCGCTGGCTTCAGCATTTGAATTTAGTAACCTTTAGTTACCCTTGTAATCCGATCTTGTCTTCGTCTCCGTGAGAAAGAAAAGGTTTTTTCATTTATGCTTTTGTTGTATTTCGAGTTGTGACTGTATCTATGCGTCTTATATTCTGAAGCATATCTTCCTTGATGCTTTGTATCATTAGCTTGAATGTTAATGTCAATCTAAGTCCGGAGTTAACCGATGTAACTATGTTTGTAAAATTCGTGTGTTGATTGTCTACAGTAAGCGTGAAGTGGCAAAAGAAGGTGTTTGAAAGTATCGAGATTGATACTAGCCAGCCTCCTTACGTTTTCAAGGCTCAGCTGTATGATTTAAGTGGAGTACCAACAGAACGGCAAAAGATTATGGTCAAAGGTGGACTTTTGAAGGTAACTTGGATTTTTACTAATGTTGTTCCTCAATTTGTTTCTTCGTGATGGTTTACAACATATATTTCTTTCGATTGATGCAGGATGATGCAGATTGGTCCACAATAGGACTGAAAAATGTAAACACTCTCTTGCATTCTATTGGTCCTGTCTGCCTGGATTGATTATGGTTTTATATTCTTTGTAATGTGCGTTCTAATTAACTTTTCGTTTTGACTTTACTAGGGTCAAAAATTGATGATGATGGGAACTGCAGATGAAATAGTGAAGGCTCCAGAGAAAGGTCCTGTTTTTATGGAGGATCTTCCTGAAGAAGAGCAGGCCGCTAATCTGGTTTGTTTTTTTTTTTTTCTGAATTTAGGAGCATTGTCTTTCCTATGCTTTTGTAGTTTCTGATATGTCGTAGCTCGGACCCAAATCAATGAACCTTCATGACAGTTCAAGGAATCGGAAAAGCATACTACATTGATAGGCATTTTGAAAACTGGTGGCTTGATTCCTTATCTTTTAGAAGTTTTTGATCATATGGGCTAACAAACATTACAATTGGTTTCAGGGTTACAGTGCTGGCCTAGTCAATCTTGGCAACACCTGTTACATGAACTCCACGATGCAGTGTTTGAAATCTGTCCCGGAATTGAAATCTGAATTATCAAAGTCAGTCTGTCTCGTTTTTTTGCTTTTTTTGTTCTAAAAAATGCATATATCTCACTTATGTAATGTATTGCCGCTATCTCATGTAAACCAAAATTCTTGATTTTTGCTCATTAGTTACCAATCTGCTCGAACCAAGGATGTGGACCAGACTTCTCACATGCTCACGGTTGCAACACGTGAGCTGTTTAGTGAGCTTGATAAAAGTGTCAAGGCTGTTGCACCTATGCCGTTCTGGATGGTTAGTCTATGTTCATGTAATGCTTAACAAATATGCTTGTTTTACTTCGTCTTCTTAGTTCTTTAAGATCAAAATTGGAAAGTTTTGCATTCAAATTAACTTGACATTTTAGTTGTCATTACAAAAGTGAAGTTGTGGGTTTCAATGGAAACTTGGGAATAACTTTGAATAATAACATTGCCTTACGGCCCAGCTTATGATAAATATGCATGTTGTTGGGTTGTATGGAAGCCTCATTCCAAACACTTTTTGATGGTTCCCATCATCAGTTTCCAAAGTTCTTATCATAAGTTTCAGAATTTCTCATCATAAGATTTGGAAGTTTCTAGCTTTCTCTCATACCAATTTTTGGTCTTAATGCAGGTGTTACAAAAAAAATATCCTCAGTTTGCTCAGTTGCATAACGGAAATCACATGCAACAGGTTTGTTGCTTATTGCCAACTCGGGTTGCATTGTGGTTTTAACATTTCAGTTTGTGAATTTAGGAACTTTTTAAATGTGTAACAGGATGCTGAAGAATGTTGGACACAAATGTTGTACACTCTTTCCCAGTCCCTAAAAGCACCATCGCCTAGCGAAGATCCTGATGCTGTCAAGGCCCTTTTTGGTCTCAACCTGCAGAGCAGGTTACAACACAAATTTCGCATTCAAATGTTCTCTTGTAATCTCATTTTTTATAGATCCTTCCTATTTGATTATATGGTCCCGCTGATCTGTAAACAGCCATGCAGTATCTTCAAGGGTCAAATTGAGATGCTTGGAAATGTTTAAAACATCTGTTGCAATCGTCGTAGTAAATCCATCTGTGTGTCTGCATTATGTTTGTTGCATGGGTATCTGTATGTTGTTTAATGCCTGCTCGACGAGGCAATATATGACATTTTAGCATCTGTACATGTTCATTTGAAACCTAGAAATATGAATCCCTGACCGGTGTTTCTCTGTTTTTCTTGTGTAGAAGAAATGTTGTGTGTTTATTAAACAGGGTATTTTTGTTTCTGTAGGCTGCATTGCCAAGAAAGTATTGAAGAAAGTTCTGAGACAGAATCTGTCTATTCTCTGAAATGTCATATATCACATGAGGTTAACCACTTGCATGAAGGATTAAAACATGTGAGTAATGCTATCAATCCATTGAAGATTTTGTTTCGGTTTACTATGAGGCATTATCATGATTATGTGGGAGATCCTCCTAAGTTCGAACTCAAAAAATATAACTGTATTTGCTTTATCTTTTTTTCGTGAGAAAATGAAGGCCCAAACTTGTGGTTCATTATCATGTATTCAGATTTTTTAGTTTGATTTTACCATCCAATCTTGAATGTTGTCACTATTGTTCATGCGGCGTTAGAACTCTGCCAGTTCATATGATAAAGAGTTACAAATCTTCTGGCTTGTTGTAGGGACTGAAAGGAGAACTTGAAAAGACATCTCCTGCCCTGGGTCGTACTGCTGTTTACATTAAGGAGTCTCTTATAGATTCCTTGCCAAGGTGATTAGTCTATGCTTACTATTTCTGCTCTGTTCTGCACTACTTGGTTCCCTTCAATCATTTTTTGACAGGTTTTATAACCAACATTTTCCAGAGGAAAAACTTAGACTTAATGCTATTTCTAATCCTTTTTCCTCTGTTAAGAAGTATCTTAAACTCTTCTTGCTGATCTTGAAGGTACTTGACTGTTCAGTTTGTGAGATTCTTCTGGAAAAGGGAGAGTAATCAGAAAGCAAAAATTCTCCGGGTATGGAAGCTTTCTGTTTTTATTTACTTTAAAGAGAGCTTGGATGCACAACATTATTATGATAGTCTCTTCGTTGAACTTTGAAGAAAGTGGATTATCCGTTGGAGTTGGATATATTTGACCTTTGTTCTGAGGATCTTCGAAAGAAATTGGAAGCTCCTCGCCAGGTATACACTGTCATCGTTTTCGAGGTCTTATTATCTGAAAAGTGGTTAACCAAATCAACTGACAAGCTGTGTGTTTCAGAAACTGAGAGATATCGAAGGTCAAAAGTTTGGTCTGCAAACGAGTGCAAAGAGTAGCTCAAAGGGTGACGATGTGAAAATGACTGATGCAGAGGTACAAAACCTTTATTTATCTACTAACCCTGCGTTAAATACGATTGTCTACGATCTTTGCTCAAAATTTCTCTGCAGGGATCGTCAAGCGGAAGTGGCCAATCATCCACAGGCGACCAACAGGGAGGTATATTCTCAACGAACCCCTTCTCAACATCTTTCTTGTATAGCTTGGAATATATGTTGGATTCAAACTTTGGTTATATTTAATGTGCAAAGTTTACCTGTGAGTAATTGAAATAATGGAGCAACTCTAGAAAATTTTAGAGAGATGGCTACTTGCAAATAAACGTGGATACTTGTTCGAGTAAAGTATATGTTTCTATCTTCTTAACTTTATCTTGCACCTTTGCCTATATAGGTGCTTCGTCTCATATGACCGGAATCTATGACCTGGTCTCGGTGTTGACCCACAAAGGCAGGAGCGCAGACTCTGGGCATTATGTTGCATGGGTCAAGCAAGAGAGTGGTCAGTTCCATTATAACACACACGCCAAAAAAGACTTAATTATATTACTTTAAAGCTTACACATCTGTGTCATGTAAAACTTGGGAACACCAATAACACATGTTTTTACAGGTAAGTGGGTTCAATACGACGATGACAACACGAGCCTGCAACGCGAAGAGGATATCACTAAACTCTCTGGAGGAGGTGATTGGCATATGGCATACATCATAATGTACAAGGCTCGTCTTGTCCCCATGTAATCCCTTCTCTGTTCTTGATTTCACTTCTTGAAACATTTTTTAAAGATGTACCTTTAGTCTTTTTTAATACAAGACCACCTTCATGTTTCTCTTTATCTGATTTTTTCACTCCTGGAAATTCTCATATTATTGTTTTGTTATCATTCTAATTTTATAACACCAGAAAGCTTCAAAACGTGTATGTGTTTTCTCTAGAGGTCCCAACCTGGATATCGTGAATGCACCAATAAAATATCTTATACGTTTATTTCAAAGAGATAACAAAAAAAAATAATAAGAATAAATTGGATTGATAGGGATGTCACATTTATAACAGTGAGATGAATAGTACTCGTCGCACTTGTAGTAAGTTATCAGTACAATAGATAATTCAAATTGACATCTATTTTGTGGGTCGATCACGGATCGAGGTCAACAAAGAACAATTATCAAGAAACCAATTTTTAATAATTTTCTTTTCTTGAGGGCTTCACACATTGGATCTTTTATTACAGAAAAAATATTTAAAAAATAAAAGCATTGACCTCCAATGTAAATTCTATCTTAAAGAAAATAAAATTATTAACCAAAAATTTCACAAAAATATTTGTACAATAAGCAAACATGAATTAAACAAAAACAGCCCCCACAAGACATGTGGAATTGGTTATGTAATAAGTAATACGAGTGGACCATTACCAAAACAGTCATCAAAGTTATGAAACAGTGAGCCCATCACAAGAGGAATTTCAGAAATGATAGCTTAACACATTTAGTTAAACACTGTCAATTCAGCTTTAAACCAATATTGATTCTTCATTTCAAATTTTTTGCCCTAATTAGTCCCTAAGAAGTGGACCATTATTAAAATTCGGTATCTTAGCGCTATCTAGTATCTATAGCCACATGGACCACAATTTAATTTGCCACCCCTTTTCATTTTGACTTTTTATTATTATTTTGTTTTCATTAAAATAATCTCTATTCAAAACTTTGTTTCATGGTATGGGTAGAGCCATCTACATCTTTTTATTACATATGCACTAGATTATTATTTGGTCTTTTTCTATCCAAAATACATTAACTACATATATAATGTCTGAAAATGTACGTAGAATTTGACTTTTCTAATTAGACAAATAGTTTTCTATCACTGCATAATTTTATATTAAAAATAACTAGGTTTAATTTTAGAGTATGACTGGACGTCTCTAAACCTAATTAGTGCCTAAATGTTAATCTTAGAGTTTGAATGTTTTGATTGGACATGGAACCTCAAATCATGCCTTGGTGCATTTGATCATAGTGTTCGATTGGACATTGCATGCAATCACGCCTGTGATGCATTCCATTCACAGTTTTGTTTTTTGGTCAAAGTCCATTCACAGTTTTGGAAAATCAAAAATAGTAAACTCAAATTTAGCAGGCAAAAAATGTAAAATAAAACAAAAAATAAATATCATATAGAAAATGCAACTTGTTGTTCTTTGTCTCCCCGGTCTAATACAAAATATCTCAAATTGGAAGAGCAAATTTTTGTAACCACATTGGATCTCTCGTATATGTATCCATTTCCAAAACAAAATTTTATCGAACAACTAAAATCCAAAAGCTTGATGTCTGTTGTGGTAAAATAATTCATTTATTTATAGGGTATGAATCAGAGAATGAGGTGCATGGCATAAATGTCAATAACATTTTGAGAAATTGGGCATATTAATAACAAGATGTTACATGTAATCCACCAATATGATGAGAAAACATAATATAATTAGTTCATAATGTATGTCGGCGTGCCATTTAATCGGGTGTAGAACAATCGTGGTAAAAACTTCAACCATCGCTATTAGCTTATAAAAACAACAACGTATAGTGATTCGCTATAAACAAGGAACACTTCTAAAATTTTATGGACAAACCATTTCCATTAATCAGTGTTGTATGTTCCTCTTGATTCTCTCATTACAACTAATGGATAAAATTGACTTAAACAAACCAAAAAAAAAAAAAAAACAAATCCTGAATTTCCTTCGTTTCTATCAAACGTTTTAGGATCATCAAACAAACTTCAGCCCGAACAATTGGACTGATAAGTAATCACCTAAAAGATTGTAATATAGACTTATCTATTATCAGTTACCACTATGATATTCTTCAAAGACCATGATCAATCACTCGTTTTGTGAATATCATTTCGATTGTTTACCGACTTTTGAGAATAAAAATAGAGCCGAGAATAATGTTAATTTTGTTTTATTCTGAGCGACTTATACTTTTGTCTTCTTTGTCTAAATAATTGATAGCTAAAAAGTTTTCATCACTCTATAAATTATGGCATAATAAACGCCATTTTGAACCCAAGAAAAACTGGCGACTACTAGTAGGGAGTCAATATCATTGGTTCTAGAACTTAGGTGCCTAAAAGTGATTACAATACATAACTAAAATACGAATTTGTCACTTGCCGTAAGAATGTTGCTGATCTATGTCGGTTCATGCACAATTATTTTATTATAATATTCGCTTCTACGAACCCTATTCTGCGCATATTTAAAAAGGTTTTAACAATTTAAATATAGTTTTCAAACTTACTTATCAACCAACTAATGACATAGGGAATGCAATAAAATCGTCGGCGAAATACCTCACGGTTCAACATAAAATAGTAATAAGCCAAAATTTTCAAAACCACGTCATGAACTTTGTGGATCATGAGATAAGTAAATAACAGTCATTTAATAGTATTTTAAACTAGAGAATTCTCAAATCAGAGCGCATAAAATAAACTGAAAATCTTCTTCTATTACACAAGATTAAAATTTTAACAAACCGATGATCATTATATAAATAAAATAAGAAAAAAGGGAGTAGTAGGAGGAATATATTACCAAAATGACATAACATCGAGCGAAACTGTTCATTGTCTACGTGATGACTCTCAAGTCACCTAAAATCAGTTTTTGCAATTTCATATTAATTTACCAAAACACCCCTCCATTTCTTCTTCTTCTTCTTCTTCTTCTTCTTCAGTTTTTCTCCACTCTGTTCATAGCCAGATCGGTCCAGGGGTTACCTCCGTTACTAGCCGCTTCGTTCCTCCTCAAACCAATACCCAAACCCATACCCGGATCCCAACCCGACCCGTCAAGAATGATCCCACCAAGACCCAGCTGCATATTCGACGCCAAAAGCGAGCTAAAACTACTCCCACCACCAATCTCCATACCTTTCACGTCTTGGTCTCCGATCGGAAACCCGTAAAGCATCCGGGTCGGATCCGTATCCGGTTTAGTCCCGTTCTGTGAATTCGGATCCGGATCCGGGTTCTTAGTCTTCTTGCTGTGGGAGTTTGAAGGAGGAGAAGAAGAGGAAGTGGATCGTTTGGCGTTCTTGCGAGAACCTCCTCCGACGGGGACGTTGCGGAGAGCGCCGCCTTTGGTCCAGTAACGACGGCAGCTTTTGCAAAAGTGACGGGGCTGTGACAGATTGTAGTTGTTGTAGTAACAGAATTTGGTGTTCGGTGAGTCACAGCGAGGACACTTTAGCTGTTCTTGCTCTGGAAACTGCGTTTGTTGTTGTTGCGTTTGAGTTTGTTGCTGTTGTTTCGCCATCATCGTCTGATAATAAGCTGCTGGATCCTGCATTTCTTCTTATTTAACGATTTAAAAGTGTGGAAAAATCTCTTCTTTTGTATAATCCCGGAAATTTTATCGAAATCCCAAATAGAAAAACAGAGTCTTTTCCTGAAGTTTTGTTTTTTAACGATACCTTGTAAAAACCTGTTTAAAGACAGAGAAAAAAAAAGATCCAAATCTTGGAGGTTTAAAGAAGAGAGAGAGAGAGATAAGAGAGTGAAGGATTTTGGTGGTTTTTATAGAGAGAGGAAGTGGTTCTTATCGCATAAATAAGACAAATTCAACACTTTCTCTCTCTAGAAGCAGAGCAGAAGAGAGAAGGAGAGGAGAGTTTTTGGGCTAAAGTCTAAACGACAAGACAAGCTTGTGAGCTGTGGTGTGACCAGTCTTATAGGGCAAAACCCAATTACCACAAGATTAGTGCTTCCGTAATCTTCCACTTTTTTATATATGTTATGAATTAATTATTCAATTTTGTGTTTGTATAGTTTAGTTAGATGACAAGAGCATGGTGTTGAACTTTTTTCATTGACTTGTTGACTTCTTTAACTACTATCATAGAGTTGTTTTTTGTTTGATGTCATTTTGTCGGAGGGGTTAAAAAGAACTTTTTTATATACTTTTTATGATTTAGAAGACTTGTGGAACTAACAGTTGATCTATATAGCTTTTATTGAACACCGTATAGTGATCGGTATTAACTGTGAACTCTACAAATCGATAAAACTCAAAGTTTGTAAGTATTATGAATTTGTAAATGGAAAATAATGTTGAAAAGTTTTGTATAAATCGAGGGGTAATAACTTTTTCCAACATATTTGGATACGCCTGTCTTCGTGCCAAGATGGTTGTTTGGCTTCATATGTTTAGACAATATCGATTCTACGTATCTTTTTGTTTTCTTATATTTGTTCTTACTTTACCCCAAAAACAAACACAATTGTCTTTTCCTTTTGATGGCTAAAAGTCTCTACTTCTTTTTCTATTTTGTAGTGTTTAATTATCTGCTGAAATTTTATCATTTAAATAAAAAAATAGACTAAGGAGACGAGTCTCTCTTCAGTTGAAAAGAAGAATATCAAAATCGATAAGAAACCAAAATTTGGGTTAGTTAAGTGGCTTATTTACTGTTAAATTCACCAAAAAAAGAGTTTGACATTAATGTAGCTTAGTTTTTACTTGAATACAATCAAACTCAATTTCACCCACCAAAAATAAATCATATTTGTGGAAACATTCATGTTTTAATGTTATTTTTATTTAAACTTTAGACTTTTCGCCCATAATATTTCTCCGTTTCCGAAACTAACCGTTCATTATGTTAAAGACATAAATCATTTCTCCCAAATAAAAGTAAACTAATGATTTTAAATATTCTCAAATATTCTCATAATTTTGCTTGGGTCGTTGAATCCAAGGTTTGTTTCAAATGTTTAATTCCTGACGGATTTACTTAAAACTGTTGTTAAAAAGCTTGTTCACCTTGAAAAGTAGTTGTTGGTCTCTTATTTTGAATTTGACAAGTTTACTATCGAATAATAGCCAATGCTAATCTAAAAAAAAACATTGTTAAATGTTAACGAAGAGTTTGCAACCATTTCTCTATATAGTATAACTCGTTTAATTATGTTTCTTCACGTCGATCTCAATACCTTTTTATTCTGAAATTACTGATTAAACAAAACCATAATCAAGAAGACGTCAAACAAAAGGCAACAAAAACAGTTGTTCTCTCCCGCCCATTTCCAATGAGTTTTCTCATCCATGCACCGGCCTTACACGTACACCTCAAATTCTTTTTGCTATAAAATAAAGAAAATTAGATGTAAGTAATCAACTAATCCATTTAGCAATTAAATCAGACGTGATTAGCATCTAATACTATAATAACCAGCTAAGATAAAAAAAAGATTGAAAAAGGAAAACACAATGAGTCCATCATTCACTACCATAATTTCTAAAACCCACTCTGGCTCAAGAATCAGGAGACAATAAGTAGTAGTTAGCGTTCTTGTGAAGCAAGTATGTGCAATCGAGAGATCATTACACTCAATATCGAATCGAAGCCGTTCAAGTTGCATTGTTTGGAATGAATCAGAACCGTCCGTGTGTCAAGGAAACAGAGATTAAGGATATTGTCGTAGCGTTAAGCTGCCGTAAGAGCTGACCATTTGGCGTTCGTGTGCTCTGTTTTGCCAACACGTGGGGACTAACACTCCACTTTCTTTCTTGATTCCCATCATCGCGTCGTTTCTACGGCTACGATTTGTGGCTGCGGCTTGACGCATGGACGGCTCTGATTAAACTTGGCCCCTTCGAATATTTTGTAACCAAATCATATTGGAGACTGATGAGAAGAGAAGACAGTAGCCAAAACAACTTGCTCATTTTTTTCGAATTTTGTAAGGTTACGTACAAAAAAGAATTTCACTTGAAATACCAAAGTAGGAATATTTTTTTTTTTCATTTCTTAAACGCTAATTATCCTCGTTAATCAATTCGCAGGATTTTAAATGTGGTTTTTGAAGGAATGTATCATGAGAAATATATAGAAAAAAAATAACCAAACGAATGTAATATAAACATAGAAGTATACTTTATAGAAGTAAAATTTAAAGATTGTAATAATATATAAATAACAAACCTCACAAGTCATGCGAGAAAAAACTACAATCACGATCTCTCTTTAAATCGGATTCCCTTTTCCTGGTTCTTGTCCAACAATTTCAACTTACCGAGACAGAACACAAGTAAAAAGCTTCTAAGAAACTCACGAGAAAATGGCGAATTTTTAGCTGTTGAAATGAGTAAAAGATAATCATTACCAGTGATTGCTATTTTCCAACCATTTCCCCGCCAAAAAAAAGAAAGAAAGAAAGAGTCGAAGGATGATACAAAGAGGGAGCATACAAAAGGAGCCAGTTTTTAGTTGTGATATGAAGATGCTGATGATGTTATGATAAAAGCATCTCTGATCCTTCAGTTTCACAAGTAGCCAAGCTTCTTCTCCACTTGAGTATATGTTTTTTGTTTTTTTGTTTTTTTTAAGCATAGTACATGTACAAACTGTTGGCAGCGGCGCAAGCTATCGAGTTCTCTGTTGGATGCCATGCAAGATGCAGTAATTTGGTTGTATGGTCAAAAGAATTACCATTCCCATGGACTCCTGGACTCTCTGCTCCTGTTTCCCAAAATTTTAGGAAAGTATTCATTTTCTGTTCTTAATTCCCTTAAAAATGCTTATGCTAAAGACACAGAGATATAAACTCACTGACCTCTTCTAACCACGCGTGTTATACTGCTTAGTGATGGTCTTGATGGCCTCGCGGGAGTTGTGACTTGTCTTCTATAAGTTTAAACACACATTTTTTATTTGATCACATACTTAGTTAGACTTGAGGAAAACATTGATGTTGCTAGGCTAGCACCAGTTTGCTAGTGTACCTCATTGGATTTTTGCTTGCTTCCAAGGTTGTAGTTTCAGTACTTCCCGGGGAAACACCAAACACACGGAAGAGATTGCTGGATAAAATGTTAAATCGGGGAAAGTTTATTCCTCAAAGTCGAAATCTAAAAACAATAAAATCAAAGAAGACGATATGCGTTTTACAAGCATTACCTGTAAGAACCTGTAGCCACTCGCAATCCGTCCCCACTTAAACAACACTCGAACTTATCGAAGATGGAATCGTTTTCATATAAATCACAGAGCTGGAAATGGTCACAAAATGGAAGTCATCAGTTATGCACCCAGTTTGCTGACGCTAATTATCCTCGATACCATTTCGCAGGTTTTAAATGTGGGTTTTGGTCTTAAATATTCGTGAAATGGTCACAAAATGGAAGTCATCAGTTATGTACAAGAAACTGACCTTTGGTCTTAAATATTCGTGAACCGGGAAAGTTGATACTGGACCTGAGTCCATGTTGATGTCCCATAACTGACATGTAAAACATAACCATGTCTTCAGTTTTCCTTATACAGTTAGTTTGAAACCAATCACTAATAACTGCAAGGACATGGCATACTAATGCCAATATAACAGATGTCGCCAAATGCAAGTCTCTCGATTTAATGAGACATAATGCAGCGGGCAAATTCGAAAAAGAACGGACCTTAAGCGTCATATAGTCACGGCTAAGTATATATCTTCCTTCTTTCGCAAATTTGATGTCTGAAATTGAAGCAATAATCTCCGTGAAAAATGATCTAGAAGTTGGTGTCTCTGTGTCCTCAAACCTGCAAAAACAAGCAATGTGATATCTGTGTTATTGGAACAAGTCATAAAACACAACAAGAGAGTTTGGATTCCTTTATGTTTGCAATACAAGTATGGTATCCTCAACATCGGTAGTTGTGAAAAGCATTCACATTCTTCTAGAAAGCTACTTAAGAAATTATTCCTAAAGTACTTGAAGTAAAGCTATCCAGATGATAAGTCTATTGTGTTGGTGCGAGAGATGTTAAAAAACACACTCTGACAGAAGAGCTCAGATAATTATACAGATCTAGAGTACATGCACCTTTCTATAAATTGCCTTACTGAGAAGCTTAGTAGGTTTACCAGTCTCAAGACTTACAATTTGGAATGTGAGTCACATAAAGCTGATTGTCGCAGATCAATCAGGCGAATTGAGCCTTTCGAACTGCTATACGCTAACGTATTGCAGTGAGTAGGATGAAATTCGGCTGATGTGATCACCTCTGCAACAACGAACATGATAAATATTGCAGCTCCAATTAACTTCCCCTCAACTCAAACTTTTACTTAAAAGTAAATCAAACAAGTAGGTAGAGAGATGACAAGATGAATGCAATTGAATATAAACGTGCTTAACATTTAACAGGAACACAGTTTATTGACCAGGCTATAGTATCCAAAATGACATTTGAGAGCTGTTTGCCTCAAAAAGGACCGCCACATCATTGAAAGAACATAAAAGAGAGAAGACAGAAAGGTAATAGCCAAGTTTGATCATCCATCTCAACACACTATTTTTGTAGCACTTCAAAGGAAAAACGCAGCTTACCAGTTAGATCTTCCATATTCGCAGGCTTGACATCAACGATGTTAAAACTTTGATTGCTGATCTCCAGGTTCCAAAGATTTATTCGCAAATCGTCAGCAGAAATAAATGTCTCGCCGTCACTTGAAATTTTGATAACAAAATCACCAAGAGAAGAACATGATCAATGCAAGTAAGAGGAAGGAAAGCAAACTATGTAACCAAATGGACGGATAATCTACCTATTGTTTGAGATTGAATTGATATGATAATCATGAGCATGAGTGTACACTCTTCGACATCTAGCCACAGGGCTAGTCTCAGGGCTAGTA